ATAAACACTCGGAGCGGGACACTGAGCCATCAACCCAGGCGTGTATGGATAGACACTCTGGGAGGGACACTGAGCCATCAACCCAGGCGTGTATGGATAGACACTCTGGGAGGGACACTGAGCCATCAACCCAGACGTGTATGGATAGACACTCGGAGCGCGACACTGGGCCATCAACCCAGTCGTGTATGGATAGACACTCTGGGAGGGACACTGAGCCATCAATCCAGGCGTGTATGGATAGACACTCGGACAGGGACACTGAGCCATCGACCCAGGCGTGTATGGATGGACACTCGGAGAGGGACACTGACCCATCCACCAAGGCGTGTGTGGATAGACACTCGGAGAGGGTCACTGAGCCATCAACCCAGGCGTGTATGGATAGACACTCTGGGAGGGACACTGAGCCATCAACCCAGTCGTGTATGGATAGACACTCGGAGAGGGACACTGAGCCATCAACCCAATCGTGTATGGATAGACACTCGGAGAGGGACACTGAGCCATCAACCCAGGCGTGTTTGGATAGACACTCGGAGAGGGATACTGAGCCATCAACCCAGGCGTGTATGGATAGACACTCTGGGAGGGACACTGAGCCATCAACCCAGTCGTGTATGGATAGACACTCCGGGAGGGACACTGAGCCATCAACCCTGGCGTGTATGGATAGACACTCTGGGAGGGACACTGAGCCATAAACCCTGGCGTGTATGGATAGACACTCTGGGAGGGACACTGAGCCATCAACCCAGGCGTGTATGAATAGACACTCTGGGAGGGACACTGAGCCATCAACCCTGGCGTGTATGGATAGACACTCTGGGGGGGGGGCACTGAGCCATCAACCCAGGCGTGTATGGATAGACACTCTGGGAGGGACACTGAGCCATAAACCCTGGCGTGTATGGATAGACACTCTGGGAGGGACACTGAGCCATCAACCCAGGCGTGTATGGATAGACACTCTGGGAGGGACACAGCAATCAACCCAGACGTGTATGGATAGACACTCGGAGAGGGACACTGAGCCATCAACCCAGGCGTGTATGGACAGACACTCTGGAAGGGACACTGAGCCATAAACCCAGGCGTGTATGGATAGACACTCTGGGAGGGACACTGAGCCATCAACCCAGGCGTGTATGGATAGACACTCTGGGAGGCAGGAAATTACAACCACACTACAACACGAACTAGACAGACTTAGTGAGTGGTGCCAGGAATCAAGAGCTCATGTGAACCCGTCCAAAGCCTCCTTAACATGGTTCTCTCTAAATACCCACATCGTGAGTACACCAACGCCAGTCGTAAGCATCTGTGGTGTGGACATCGAGAGAACGGACACCATGAAATACCTGGGCATGACATTTGACAGATGCTTGTCATACAAATGCCACGTAGACAACGTCATACTTAGAGCCAGGAAAGGTTTGACAGCACTCAAGGTGCTAGCAGCAGCTGATATTGAACAACGTCTACTTTTCCTTCTCTATCAAGGGCTTGTGCTTAGCGTCATTGACTATGGTCTCGGCCTCCTCACTGTCAGTAAAACCCATCTAGAAAGACTGGACCGAGTACAGAATGAGGCCATGAGACTCATACTCGGCTGCACAAAAGACACCTCCTGCAACGCCATGCGTTATATCCTGGGTCTGCCGACTATGACAAGCAGATACAAAGTGGCACAGGTCAAGGCTTACATGAGGGTATCGGCAGATGTTAACCACCCATTACACAAAGCTATTCACAACACAAAAGGAACGCGTCTCAAAAGGGGCCGCTCTTGGATGGCAAAGGCTGAGGACTTAATCCAGCAGGTATGTGACCTAGACGTGATCAGCCACGGAAAAGAATGGACGAATACACCAGTAGACATGCATGGCATTTCTAAGGTTGTCATCACACTCGGAAGATACTGCAGGGATCAAATTCCCGCGGCGGTAGACACAGAAGTAAGGGAACTGATAGATCAGCATTCAGACCCAGAAGATACCATCATCTACACAGATGGATCTGTGAAGCGCGGATCAAGGTCAGCATGGGCATACACAGCGCAAAGAAAGGGGAAAACAATACATGAGGACAGCGGCGCTTACCAGACAACCACGTCAAGCATGACAATGGAAATAGCCGCTGCTTCTAGAGCTTTAGCATGGGTATCCGAGCAAACCGCCACACAGGTAGTAATTGTCTCAGACTCAATGAATATGCTTCAGAAGATAGCAACAGGCAGTATGCGCTCTGAATGGATAGAAAGCATCAGGAAATCGCACTTAACCTCCGTAACCTGGATCTACACACCGGGTCATGCGGGCGTGAAGGGAAATGAGCGAGCAGACCAACTGGCAAGCACTGCACTAATGATTGCAGGAAAAAGTATGGACAGAGCAGACATAGTCAAACGCTGTACGAACCGGGCTAGTGGAGAATGAGGAATCCCTGACACTAACACGATTGCGTGACATGGGAGTTAAGCATGGTGATGCACGTCTTTGCCGTCTTCGAGGCCGAGAAAGGAGACAATATAACCAGCTTCTCATGGGGACAATTAGTAGAAGTACTTTAGAGTGGCTGCTGCTTCGGAGAACTGAGCACGCATGGGTATGCCCAATGTGCAGTGACATTAATTGTGATAACAGAACATAAAATAACATCTTAGTAGGGAGTCGGCAGTACGAAACCCAAGTTCAAGGTGTCTCCTTCGTGCCAAAGAACTGCATGGCTGTTGGGTGAAACAGTCGTTAACGAGGGCAGGCAGGTCGTTGTAGGGGCGACGCCTGCTGGTGGATGTAATGTCCTAAGTCCCTTCCCCAGCTAATAATGAGGGTACTGCTGGGGTGACCGTTTATTAACTCTCATATAATTCTTCCGGTCAAAATGGACGCTAGGTACGGCCACCTTTTTTTTTTTTTTTTTTTTTTTTTTTTTTTTTAAAGTCGTGGCAAATATTTTTCCAGACGGTGGCCGTTGCATTTTTGCTCCATTTGTAGACTGGAAGGATGTAGTTTCGTCGCCCAGCTTCTGAGTTGAGTGCATGGCGTGACACTGTGAGCTGCGTTTGTTTTTCGTTGGCACAGGAGCGGAGCATGTGTGGGGTGACCCGTTTGCTATGAAGCTGAAACTAGGATTACCAGATTACCAGATTACTCTGGGAGGGACACTGAGCCATCAACCCAGGCGTGTATGGATAGACACTCTGGGAGGGACACTGAGCAATCAACCCAGGCGTGTATGGATAGACACTCGGCGAGGGACACTGAGCCATCAACCCGGGCGTGTATGGATAGACACTGGGAGAGGGACACTGAGCCATCAACCCAGGCGTGTATGGATAGACACTCGGAGAGGGACACTGAGCCATCAACCGAGGCGGGTATGGATAGACACTCGGAGAGGGACACTGAGCCATCAAACCAGGCGCAAATACACAAATATCAGCTAACAGACCTGGCATAAATAAACCAGACCACAAATATAACCAACGCTGCTCATAACGAAAACTGTTCCCAACAGGTTGCACGTGATCGACTTTTTAATTCATGTAGTAGGAACTGAAATGGGAAGTGCCCTAAATATCACGCCAGTAAAACCAGTTTTTTTAACTGTTTTTTTTTAAATCATCACATTGTACGACCTTTCTAATAAGCTTGGCCTGGAGTCTGCCGAGAGTTTAGCATAGAACTTCTTTAGGGGTTGAACTGGGTGTCTAGGATCTGTCCTCTTGGTGTCTGGGATCTACTTTGTTTGTCTCTGGGATCTGCCTTTTCGATCTCTTGGATCTGCCTTGTTGGTGTCTGGGATCTGCCTTTTCGATCTCTTGGATCTGCCTTGTTGGTGTCTGGGATCTGCCTTGTTTGTCTCTGGGATCTGCCTTTTCGATCTCTTGGATCTGCCCTGTTGGTCTCTGGGATCTGCCTTGTGTTGTCTCTGGGATCTGCCTTTTCTATCTCTTGGATCTGCCTTGTTGGTGTCTGGGATCTGCCTTGTTTGTCTCTGGAATATGCCTTTTCGATCTCTGGGATCTGCCTTGTTGGTGTCTGGGATGTGCCTTGTGGATCTCTGGGATCTATCTTGTTGATCTGTGGGATCTGCACTTGGCTTTTGTAGAATCAGATCATCGTTAGGCCTCCTGCGCCGATGACGTCAGTGTCCAGACCTGAAAGTGAAAACATCTTCCACTGGATTAGGACAAATTAGCCACAACGCTAGCATTTCTGTTTGTGTCATCAAATTACCCTGACCTGTTCCTAATGTTCATTGAACCGCGACAGAGCCATGTTTGCAGCTTTGGACGACCTCAGCCGCAACTGTACTTACCGGCCTTCGTTCAGTGACCGCTTGTTGTTGTGTGTCTCCACAGTTGTGTTCGGTGACACATCTTTGCCTCTTGTTCTTGACAGTTGTAGGACACGATGCTGTAGACTTTGAAACGGTTGGATACATAGTTGTGAAACATGCGTTTACATAAGAGTTGGATACATAGTTATGAAACATGCGTTTACAGAGGTTGTAACTGTTTATTATATGTCCGGAAGATGTAAGTGTATTGTAGAGTAATGTGTGCAGTTTATAGAAACCCGTTACAGTGATTACATTTCTGGCATTTTGAAGACATTCATTGATATCTTTGATTTCTTACAACACAGTGTTACATTTACGGCAATCTGAAGATTTGACTTTATTTTATTTAACAGTTTATTGAACTATTAGAAATCTGTGCACCGATTGAGTATGGTACACCGCAAAACAAATTGTTACATTTCTGGGAACCTGAAAACTTGTCGTGATAGCTTATGGCAGTTGCTCAAATGTAATGGAAATAGTAGACAGTGAACGTTTCCCAGGAAACAACTACAGTAATTGGATGTTGAGATTCGCTTTTATTTTCGCTGGACTTGTGTTAATAGATTTTAGTGTGTTCGTGTGAAATGTGGAGTCAAGTCTTGTTTGACGGGCTATATTCCTGACGTCCGTGCACCACACCTGTGTAGCCGATGTATTTAGCACCAACCTGTGAAACTGTATGTAGCCCCAGGAGGAGCATGGAGCAGGGCAAAAAGACCAGATTTAAGCTGATTCGTGCTTGGTCATTCAACGGAAAGTCTGCGAAGATTGGCAGCGCCTTGAAGAAGTTATCCATAGGTTGTAGTGGTGTTTGTTGTATGTTTGTCCGTCCCCCTCTCTCTCTCTGTCTGTCTGTCTGTCTGTCTGTCTCTCTCTCTCTCTCTCTGTGTAGTTTATTGTGTCAGTTTATATTCTTTTTCATGTTTTGAACCCTTCAGAGAATGTTGCATTGTCTGTTCCCGCGGACTGACCGCTTTGTTTGTTGACTGTTTGATGTCTGTTAATGTTAATGAATATGAATAATTTTTAATGAACTTTATTACATATCATCGCCGGCATCATTTTCTTTATCTACTGCTTTGAACGACGACGACAACAGCAATAGCAGCAACAACAACATTTTTTGGTTGTTGTGGTTTTTCTAGGTAAATGTTACGTTCAGTAGTTTGCCATTGCTACTAAACGATCGGCTGTCGGTACAACTACTGAAACCAACGCAAGGCAAATCGTCTACAGGTGGGCTCGAATCCGCCCCCCCCCCCACCCCCGGGTTCACGAAACAAGCTCGTAACGCCTAAGCCACAGACACCGACACCACCACCACCCCCTCCTCCTCCTTGTCGCGGAGACCTCCTCCACACTGAGCTAGAGCCTTGTGATCACTGCCTTAGATGTGGATGACGTGTGTAATGTCTGTTTGATGCAAACATCTGGACATGTCATATTTCTTCAGTGGGCGCATAAATCTGTCTGAGCTTGTTGTACAGGAGACCACCCGAGCATGATCCACTGCTTTCCTAGTCCGCACGTAGAGTTTGGTCAAGCGGAGACACCCAACGTATGTATGTCCTTATTCCCTGTATGTCTGTCCCGTCAAGGAACCAATGATGGTCGTTCTCTTCCGCTGCAGAATCTGGTGGTTGTCGTCGGTTGATTTAGTACCTGTTCTCTTGGCCTTGTGGGTCATTCTTTTTCTGTCTGACTTGTTTTTGTAACCATTCTCATCATGTTCATATATAGGTTTATGTGAGTGGTTATGTCGCGGGTACCGCAAAGCGGCCTGGTGTCCAGAGAAATGCTGGCTTTCCTCAGGTGGTTGTTCAACGTCGGAGCTCCAGTGTAACTGTTATCCCGGTGTGCCTGGCTTCTAGGACGTGTGCGTGTAGTTTTCTTATCCATGAGGTGTTCATCCCGCTGACGCACAATATAACCTACATCTGACAGCAACATTGCAATTGGCAGATACCGTAGCTTACCACCTGGGAACCTGGTTGTCACTGGATCAACAGTGACCTGGCGTTCCAGCGACAACAGGGGAGTGGCTTGTGTAGACTTGGTAGCTAATGGGTCCATCAGTTGTTCATTGTGAAAGTTCAGTCATTGAAATTGTGTGTGGTTTGTGTGTAGATTTAAACAGCTGTCCTAATCTGTGAGTTGACTATATCTGAATGGAAGTAGGGCAAGATGGCTTGTAGTGAGATGGAGGTTAACTTTGTATTTGCGTTACCGCAGTGAAATTTGTGTCGACATGTGTGAGGTGTTCATGTGAGAAGAAACGGCAGAACTGCGAGCCAATGGGACATCCACGTTGTTAGATTATGGATTAATCGACTAACAAAAAGTGTAGATTATGGAAGAGAGATTTGGCTAGACCTTGTTGGGATGTGGCGAAGATAACAAAACGTCTGGGACTTGGGCGGTAAAGCAGCGCTAGACAGTCGCTGATATAAACAATAGTATAAGACTCCGCACATTGGTAACATGCACAGTAAATAGCAAAGGTAAAAACTGGAGCACAATAGCCTGGCAGATAGTAGAGATGGCTAGCAGGAAAATCGAGAGCGGTAGATAGCCTGGAGCACGCCAAACATACGTGGAATGACAAATAAATGAGGTTGAAAGGCTTTATCGTTAATGGACGGGTTTTATAGTAGAGATTAATTTGATGAAGGGTAGAAGAGATCACAGCAGAGTTGAGAGATAACGGGGCAAGGCATGTAGGACATATTAATGCGATGACAAAATAATAAAAGGTAGAACAGAAGGAAGCTATAAATGACGACAGATAAGAAAAATAAAAAGTGTAGAGAGAAGAGGCCGGTTGTCAAGTGTGAAGAAGTGTAAATGCGAACATGTGTAAAGATAATATAATGCTACATAGAGACGATCTCAGGAGACAGGGGAGATAATAACATGATCCTAACTTGGGGGATTTCTGTTGCATGCGAATCCCACAGAAGTCCAAGTTGTCGTTCTTGAATTTAATACATTGGCATTCAAATGAAGTGTGTTTCCTGAGAAGGACACGCAGACAAAGACCCGCGCACTGCTAAGGACCCCACAGACACGGTTATTTCCAGACAAGACCAGGCTCAGGGCTAACAGTTATGGACCGCTCTGGATGTGACCCCTGCAAGAAATAACACGTGGACCTGGACACCCCCCCCCCCTCTCCCCCCAAAAAAAGACACACATGGACATACCATAACAAGAAGAAAATGTTGCAATAGACTGTTAACGAAATGTAACCTAACACACGAATAGCGGACAAACAACAGGAGATGAGCCCAGGTAGAAGGAACCAGAATACCCACAACAGCAGCGACAGACCAGACCCAGACATACCGGAAGCGACACCACACAAAACAGACCCAGACATACAGGAAGCGACACCACACAAAACAGACCCAGACATACAGGAAGCGACACCACACAAAACAGACCCAGACATACAGGAAGCGACACCACACAAAACAGACCCAGACATACAGGAAGCGACACCACACAAAACAGACCCAGACATACAGGAAGCGACACCACACAAAACAGACCCAGACATACAGGAAGCGACACCACACAAAACAGACCCAGACATACAGGAAGCGACACCACACAAAACAGACCCAGACATACAGGAAGCGACACCACACAAAACAGACCCAGACATACAGGAAGCGACACCACACAAAACAGACCCAGACATACAGGAAGCGACACCACACAAAACAGACCCAGACATACAGGAAGCGACACCACACAAAACAGACCCAGACATACAGGAAGCGACACCACACAAAACAGACCCAGACATACAGGAAGCGACACCACACAAAACAGACCCAGACATACAGGAAGCGACACCACACAAAACAGACCCAGACATACAGGAAGCGACACCACACAAAACAGACCCAGACATACAGGAAGCGACACCACACAAAACAGACCCAGACATACAGGAAGCGACACCACACAAAACAGACCCAGACATACAGGAAGCGACACCACACAAAACAGACCCAGACATACAGGAAGCGACACCACACAAAACAGACCCAGACATACAGGAAGCGACACCACACAAAACAGACCCAGACATACAGGAAGCGACACCACACAAAACAGACCCAGACATACAGGAAGCGACACCACACAAAACAGACCCAGACATACAGGAAGCGACACCACACAAAACAGACCCAGACATACAGGAAGCGACACCACACAAAACAGACAGGGACACTGAGCCATTGAATTTAGCACAAGAACCCAATTTGAGCCCAAATAATTCGGCGCAAGTAACAAATTACAGCCCAAATCTGCTTTTCCGAAAGGAGCTGGTTCAACGTCGCCCTCCCCATTTTCCCCATCACCTCACCCAATCAGATTAAGACTTGCACCCTTAGCCGCACAGGGCTGCAGGTGACACCAGGCTGCTGTAGCAGTTACAGATACTCCAACTATTACGAGGTTGAACCGGGTATCTAAGATTTGCTCTGTTTATCTGCCCTCCAGGTTGAGATGTTGTAATCTCAGGGTGTCTTACTTTCAGGTTAATAAACAGAGGGGGAACCCTTGAGGCCGTTAAATATTATATATTGATAAAGTAACAGAAAATGTATTGATTGGCACTCATAGAAAGAAATAGAAAGATAGAAGAGCACACTAGACAACTGTGTCTTGTCTGGTGTGTTCTTCTATCTTTCTACTTCTTTCTATGAGAGCCGATCAATACATTTTCTGTTTCTTTCAGGTAGCAGCCCGGAGGGAGGAAGCGAATCGCATAAGAATATGTATCTGTCAGAATAAGAGTGAGAGCCACAAGGACAGTGTTGAAGAGCCTTCCTGTCTTCTGCTTGCTCGTTAACCAGCGTTTGTGTGTGTGTGTGTGTGTATATATATATATAACTATGCGGTTTGTATCTTCTCTCTCTCTCTCTTTCTCTCTTTCTCTCTCTCTCTCTCTCTCTCTCTCTCTCTCTCTCTCTCTCTCTCTCTCTCTCTCTCTCTAGATATATGTGTCTATATACAAATACGCCCGGCTCTCTAGCGTGATTGGCTAAACCGGATTGCGCGGAGACCGGGTGAGGAACTCCTTGTGGTCCGGGTTCAATCCCGGGGGTAGGCAGAAAAGCCACATTTCTCCCAGATTTACGGTATTTACAATAGAATCAAGGCCGAAAGGTTGCGATATCCATAATACCGAGCCTAAGGGTTAACAACTCATGGCTTCTGGATACTAAAACAAACAAACAAACAAACAAACAAACATATACAAATACACATATATATACACACATACTTGTAGGCTTGGTATTTTTTTTGTGTATGTGTATATAGATATACGGTTGCTATCTTCCACGTGTGTCTGTAACAATTATATGGTTGTTATCTCCCTTCCTAGGTTCCCTGGATGCAGACTTCATGGATACGCCCGCTCGCAAGGTTCACATCTGTGACTCGCCCCTGGAAACTCCGGACACCGACAAGAGATTGCTCAAGGTAACGTAACTTGTGGGTGAGAGAGAGAGAGAGAGAGAGAGAGAGAGAGAGAGAGAGAGAGAGAGAGAGAGAGAGAGAGAGTCACTGTTAATGTTTCATGTGAAAATCTTGTTGTTGCGAGCTGTTGGTTAAATGATACTTTGTACGTCTGAAAGCGTCTGTCTCTCCACACCCATACACGTCTGTCTTACACACCCATACACGTCTGTCTCTCCACACCGATACACATCTGACTCTCCACACCCATACACGTCTGTCTCTCCACACCCATACACGTCTGTCTTACACACCCATACACGTCTGTCTTACACACCCATACACGTCTGTCTCTCCACACCCATACACGTCTGTCTCTCCACACCCATACACGTCTGTCTCTCCACACCCATACACGTCTGTCTTACACACCCATACACGTCTGTCTTACACACCCATACACGTCTGTCTTACACACCCATACACGTCTGTCTTACACACCCATACACGTCTGTATCTCCACACCGATACACATCTGACTCTCCACACCCATACACGTCTGTCTTACACACCCATACACGTCTGTCTCTCCACCCTCACCCATACACGTCTGTCTCTCCACACCCATAAACGTCTGTCTTACACACCCATACACGTCTGTATCTCCACACCCATACACGTCTGTCTCTCCACACCCATAAACGTCTGTCTTACACACCCATACACGTCTGTCTCTCCACACCCATACACGTCTGTCTTACACACCCATACACGTCTGTCTTACACACCCATACACGTCTGTCTTACACACCCATACACGTCTGTCTTACACACCCATACACGTCTGTCTCTCCACAACCATACACGTCTGTCTTACACACCCATACACTTCTGTCTCTCCACAACCATACACGTCTGTCTTACACACCCATACACGTCTGTCTCTCCACAACCACACACGTTTGTCTCACCACACTGATACACGTCTGTCTCTCCACACCGATACACATCTGTCTATCCACACCCATACACGTCTGTCGCTCCACACCCATACACGTATGTCTCTCCACACCAATACACGTCTGTCTCTCCACACCGATACACGTCTGTCTCTCCACACCCACCCATACACGTCTGTCTCTCTACACCCACCCATACACGTCTGTCTCTCCACACCGATACACGTCAGTCTCTCCAAACCCACCCATACACGTCTGTCTTACACACCCATACACGTCTGTTTCTCCACACTCACCCATACACGTCTGTCTTTCCACACCGATACACGTCTGTCTCTCCACACCGATACACGTCTGTCTCTCCACACCCACCCATACACGTCTGTCTCTCCACACCCACCCATACACGTCTGTCTTACACACCCATACACGTGTGTCTTACACACCCACCGAAACACGTCTGTCTCTCCACACCCATACACGTCTGTCTTACACACCCATACACGTCTGTCTCTCCACACCCACCCATACACGTCTGTCTCTCCACACCCACCCATACACGTCTGTCTTAAACACCCATACACGTCTGTCTTACACACCGATACAAGTCTGTCGCTCCACACCGATACACGTCTGTCTTACACACCCATACACGTCTGTCTCTCCACACCCACGAGGCAGCCAGACTAAGAGTTAAGTCAACACTTTCAGAGTTGTGTAAAAAAGCAGAACTAAGTGACGATTACAGTATTACAACTGAGACCATACGAGGCATACTCAGGAAATCGCCCAACACCTCACCCTGACGGCATCCAGTATGCTGCAGATGTCAGAGGACGATATGTCAGAACTGGCAGGAGAGTTCAACATCAGCATCAGAAGTGGTCAAATCAGAGAAGACTGGCTCCACAGCTACCCACTGCCGTTACCAAAACCAAATAAAGACCATTCCAAGATCAGTGGCTACAGAATCATTACCATGCAGAACACTACAGGCAAGCTTCTGGAGAAAATTGTAGCACGAAGACTCGCTGATGACTTGGAAAAGCACGTCAGGTTACCATCCACACTTGGGGGATACAGACAAAACAAAGAGACATGGCTCAATGCAGCAGTCTTTCCCTGTGAAGTCTATGAAGGTTTTCAGGTGAGAGAAGAGACATGTGCAGCTGCACTAGACTTAGAGAATGCGTACAACAGAGTACCATTTGAATACTTGGTGCACATACTCCTCCAACTGCAAATATCTCCCTTCATCACCCGCTGGGTAGTCGCAGCACTGTTTCAGAGGCGGGTGACACTCAGGTGTGGTTGTTGGTCCTCAGAACCGATAACCATCAGCCCAGGATTGCCTCAAGGTTCTCCGCTGTCTCCAGTGCTATTCGACGTGTACCCATTTGTAGACTGGAAGAATATAGTTTCGTCGCCCAGCTTCTGAGTTGAGTGCATGGTGTGACACTGTGAGCTACGTGTATTTTTCGTTGGCACAGAAGCGGAGCAACTATGGGGTGACCCGATTGTTATGAAGCTGAAACTAGGATTACCAGATTACCAGTGCTGGAAAATGAGCAGCAGTTGCATGGGAGTGGCAGGACCTTGTCATTTGCTGATGACCTCTTAGTATATCGACATGGAAGAGATCGTCAATAAATTGCCAAGTCAATGCAGAGTGAACTAAATAGCATCTCCTGGTGTGCAGATTCTAATGCTTATGTCAACCCTGCGGAAGCCTCAGCAGCGTGGTTCTCCTTGAACACGCATATAGTGAAGGCAGACTTACCAGCAGTGGAAAGTAGCGAGGAAATTTTGTCGAGAACAAATCAGATGAATTACCTTGGAGGGAGGTTTGATCGCAGCCTATCCTTCAAAGAACATGTTGACCATGTCATAACAAAAGCACACAAAGGCCTGTCAGCAATGAGGGTCCTGGGTGCCGCTAACACTAAGCAGAGACTGCTTCTGCTTCTGTTCCAGGGACTTGTACTTTCTCCCATCAAATATGCTCTGCATCGTGACGCTCGATAGGAGCTGTCGGGAGCATCTGTCTATCCACACCCAAACACGTCTGTCTTACACACCCATACACGTCTGTCTGTCTCTCCACATATACCCACACCTGATATCTGTGGCTGCAGCAGATCTGCACGGGTTTCCAGTCTGTATAGCGTTTTAGCTGCCTGTATTTGAAAATAACTGAATGTAATATATTATTGTGCGGTAACTCTAGATCACCTAGCCAGTCAGACTACCAAGTCAATGCGGCCGCTATCTCATATCGCTTTCAGCCCAGTGTCTTATTCTCTGTGGTTGTCGTTCACCACACCTGGTTTGTCTCCATCAAGACCAGCCCAGTGTCTTATACTGTGTGGTTGTCGTTCACCACACCAGGTTTGTCTCCACCAAGACTAGCCCAGTGTCTTATACTGTGTGGGTGTCGTTCACCACACCAGGTTTGTCTCAATCAAGACTAGACCAGTGTCTTATTCTCTGTGGTTGTCGTTCACCACACTAGGTTTGTCTCCATCAAGACTAGCCCAGTGTCTTATACTGTGTGGTTGTCGTTCACCACACTAGGTTTGTCCCCACCAAGACCAGCCCAGTGTCTTATACTGTGTGGGTGTCGTTCACCACACCAGGTTTGTCTCCATCAAGACTAGACCAGTGTCTTATTCTCTGTGGTTGTCGTTCACCACACCAGGTTTGTCTCCACCAAGACTAGCCCAGTGTCTTATACTGTGTGGTTGTCGTTCACCACACCAGGTTTGTCTCCACCAAGACCAGCCCCTAGCCAGTGTCTCATACTCTGTGGTTGTCGTTCACCACACCAGGTTTGTCTAAAACAAGACTAGCCCAGTGTCTTATACTGTGTGGTTGTCGTGCACCACACCTCAGTGTTTGTGATTTTGTCCTGCCACTTAATGCCAAGTATTCTTTTTTAGGCATCGCATGTGAAAGCTATTTAACCGTCTCTACTGGTGCGAATAAGTTGAATTTAGTCACGTTTTTATGCATTATATAAGTTATAATTCAGTATCTCCGTCGTGTGTTTCAACAGACAAAAACACTCCGTCCATCTGGCTACAATCTTAAATAGGCCTTATATATGGAACAAGGCTTACATTTCAGGCTACCTGCAAGTTCTGCTGGGGCTTATCTTCAGTGAAACATGGTAAACACGCAACGATAATGGAGATGGTTTTAGCCTAGCCTCGCATGCGTTTATTGTGAACTTGATTTCATACTACAAATTGATCGCAAATATCTGTTGGGGGTCACAGAATATTTGATACTCTACTGTTGACCTTGCTTAGTTGGACATAGACCTACCTGTTCTACCGGCAATGACATACTTATGTGTCCACTTGATCACCATCTGGACTTGACTACCACTGTATGAATACAAGATATACATTTTAATATGATCTGTTTACAACCAGGTTTCTGACAAGGCTTAGTTAGGTTCTTGCTTCCGCGGTTGTAGCGACTGTCTGTCTGTCTGTCTGTCTGCCTGTCTGTCTGTCTGTCTGTCTGTCTGTCGGTCGGTCGGTCTGTCTGTCCTTTCTTCCTCCCTTCGTTCCTTCCATTTTTGTAAGCGAAAGAATTGACGTAGCAGTCTTTGATACTGGATGAACCTAACAGTCAGGACATTAGGTATTGGGGAGTATTCTAGAAGTGTTGAGTTTTTTGTTGTCCAGATGTATTATCGCGATAAATCCAACCATCATTATCAGATGCCATCCCTGGTGACACTAAGAGACTTCTGCTTCTACAGCCGTAGACAGTTATCTTATCCATTAAACAACCGTCTGTTGGTATTCTTGGTGCTACCGCTAATCAACTTTCGCGAGACCTTGCCAACATAGCCTGTTCTATCCCTGCCTGTGTCAGCCTTGATCGTGTTGTTACCAGCTTCCCCAGAAACGTTGCTCTCATCGTCACGTTGCCAGCAGTGGACCGCGGTCTTATCCTGATACTTCAGGGCTATTCAACAAAGTTTACCCAGGGGCCAAAATGTTGGACATGAATATCGCCAGGGCCCGAGCCCTGCATGGAAAGATCATCAAT